AACGAAGATGACAACTGGGACAGAGAATTAGATGAGAGTAAAACGAGAGAACGTGATGAGAAGTTATTGATATTCCGTGATGACATACAGTATGAACTGAAGCAACAACAGCAGATGTTACTACAGGAATTAGGAATGATAGAAGAGGATTTAATGAATGGTGGAATGGATGCCGTGAAAGATGAGTTATAAACATCACAATGCTTTTATTAACTCCAAACTACAAAATTAATCTAAAACAATTATCTCAATCTGCTCGGCCCTCCCAGTATCTTCTAATGTACGTCACTAATACAGGGTTCCCCCCATGGCACTATAGAGTAGAGATTCCCAACTGTTTAATTTCAGATAAAACAATAAAGCCAATATACAGGTAATGTAACAATTAATATAATGTGGGTGATTAACATATTCTATTGTTATGCAAATTAGTTGGTAATCTGTTTTGTCACATTCATTTATTTTTTTCTCGAGGTTTGAGCTGAATTAGAGATTACCGGTACTCTAGAAAACTTTAATTTCTCTTGGAATTAATTTTCGGTATTTTCGCTGAAGGGATGATTCCGTGAAAATAAAATCCAGTGAATATACTTTTTTTCCTATATTTTACAATCAACTTGTCAGCATTCAGTGAAAATAAATTCCATACAAAATGCCCAAAATGTCTTTTCAGTGAAAATTAATTCTAGCTAAAATAAAGTATTTCACAGTATATATCATGTTCGATACACATTCATTATTATGAGTTCGTTCTATCAGAAAACCGTTAATTAAAACAAATCGGGTTCACTCGATGAGTTTTTGAGATAAAAGAAATATCGTGGAAAATGGTCAAAAATTCTCATTTTTACACTGGTTTCTATGGTGAGATTATTTATTCATATCTAAAAAATTTACTGAGTAATATGGGATGGAAAAGTCATATATTATTATTGATATGAAATCATTGTGAAATCATTTCAAAAAATTTACATGTAATATAGTGAGTTTCCGATAAATGCAATGGGAGATTATATCCCACAATGCATTGCACATATGTGCAGAAACATGCTCAGTAGTGCAAAATTTGAGTTTGCCACAATCTACCTTAATTATTTGTAGCTAGTAGCTGTTAAACAATGGTATGGAAACAGAGTAGTAGTCTTGACATGGTAGAGATTAGGCCTAATGGTTTTGATGTTAACTAAAACAATTCAAATTTTATATTAAAGCGGGGGAGTCGTCACCTGCGAATGTGTCAGATGGCCATAGCGTGTCACTGTTTACAAACAAGCGTCTACCCATGAGCCTTTGCGTTTTTAGCGTGTGTTGTTATCATCGCTTGGGACTCAATTCCCGGCGCGTACCCTCCCGCTTTAAATGCAGGGGCATGCATAATGCCAAAGAAAGATACAAATGTATTGTTATTACGTGAAAATGCTTTCCTTGTTAATTGGGAATGCCATTTACAATGACTTGTAGTAAAAAATTGGAATATACCATTTTCCATTCACCGGAAGATCCTGCATTATGCGTGAAAATAGAACGTAAAAATAGGTCCAAACAAAGGTCATAGCGTATTAGTGGCATCAAAACATTGGGTTGGATTTGACATGTGAGAAATTATTTTGGGGGTATTTCCGTGCTTAGTAATGTGGAATACACATTAGATGAAAGTCAATTTTGATGAAATAAGGGAAATGCAACATTCCTTCATGAAAGATTACTATTTTGACATTTAACTATAAAAAAAGATACTCAAGTTCAAAATCAAATCATTATAATTTTGTGGCAGACATTCTGTCAGTGCCTATCACGTAAGACACAAGATTCCGCAGTGAAGGGAATATCATGTAATTTATTGAAGTGATATATTTGTGTATATAAGTAGTACCAGTAAATATTTATTCTTGTGGCTTATATGTCACCAGGTCATATGATCATTTCATGCAATTAAAATAAAATTATCAATCAGAGCACGTACCATATTAACGCTTTTAGAAACGCATCTTCAATAAAGACACTATAAGCCAAAAAACACATTTGTTGTATACTGATTAATTGAAATATTTAACCATAAAAACATTTCTGTAATTTACATGAGGGCATGTATATGCTAATAATAGAGCAAATATGGTGTACTGTTTTTGCTCTATTAGTAGAACACCTCTAATCAAATCACACAGAAACCAAACACTGAATCATTCCTGGCTCACAGTAAAGTAAGATTTTTAAAAAAGATTTCAGACTTTATTGTGGTACATATACTGTAAAATACTTTATTTTCACTGAATAGATTTTTGGGGGTTTTGTATGGAATTTATTTTCACTGATTTTTGACAAATCGAATGTAAAATATAGGAAAAAAGGTATATTTGTTGCATTTTATTTTCACTGAAACATAAGTGAAAATAAAGTATTTTACAGTAGTTTTTATTTTCCTCACCAACAACGTTCAATAAGTGGTGGTCGTAGTTTACTGGTACCATATACTGTGGAATACTTTATTTTCGCTGGAATAAATTTTCGCTGAAAAGGCTTTTTAGGCGTTTTGTGTGGAATTTATTTTCACTGATTTTTGATGAGTTTAATGTGAATAATAGGAAAAAAAAGTATATTCGCTGGATTTTATTTTCACGGAAACATTCCTTCAGCGAAAATAGCGAAAATAAAGTATTCTACAGTACCATCAGTAGACCGATAATATTGTTAATAAAATCAATAACAGAAATTTACTCTTTTAATCAATCTTCTGCTAATTCACAAACAATTAAAATATGATTTTCATTAGTACAAAAGAAATTAATTTTTACTTTTACAAGTTTCATAGTACTTGTATGGATTACCTCTTAGTCTGACATTTGGTGGCGCAGTTCCATTGAGGAGAAGTTGGAAGGCTAAAAATAATTGAATGCGATAGGAAGAAACATGGCTACAACAATATATGATTTGTTATTTAAATTAATTTTTTTCACTTATGTTCATTTCAGGGCAACAGGAAGAAAAAACATAAATGTGTTGATGGGCATTTTACAGTCATATGATGTATTTTTACCATAAACACACCTCTATCAGTTATGTGTGTGCACTTCCTATAGAGCAGATATGGTTTTCTGAGTTGTCAGTACATGTACTTCAATCTTATATACCATATCAGGTTATGACATAGATAACAACACAATACCCATTAGCCAGCTTTGATTCAGCAGGTTGTGAGATAATACTCAACTATAATTTAAGTCATCTAGTTAGGATTTTTATATTCATCTATATTCATCTATTCATTTTATATTTCCCTATCATTGAATATTGGGTTAGTTTTATGAGAAGTTTATTATTTCTAGTGTTTTATGATCTTAATTTTTCTTGTCTGTAAATTTCTTTTAGAGTTGATATCATTTTGAGACAATGAATTGATTTGAATTGTTCATCAACGATGTTAAATGTATCTAATCATATCATACATTTTTTACTCAAAACTTTATTTTTATATCTTCCATATTTTCATATCTTTATTTATCTTGAGGCAGTGTATGTGTTAAATATGTCAACGTTGATTGAAGGTTTGGATTTTTAATTACCAATATAGTTAATGTGTTTTTTTTCAAATACTACTTGTCACATAAAAGTATTTATTTTATTCATATTGTTTATATTTGTAATTTGCTACAATACAAATTAATTAGTGCAGAAATAAGGACATTGTACTGCTTATCATGAGTCAGATGTCAGTAATGTACTATCTAAGATTTGTTATTTAGATATGTTGTATTTTTTTTTTCCTGACCTGCATTTTTTTTTTCACCAAAATTTTGCTTAGATATATTGCTAATTGGGAACTTTAATTCATGTTATGTTATTTTTTAAGGAACCTTAAGATTGATACCATATGTGATTAATAGTCTAGTTTTTGTCTCTTCTGTTTTATTATTCGCTATTCAATATATAGATTCTCAACAGCCAAGGTTGTAATAGTTATGCTATGTTTTTTTTCTGTATATATTGAAATGGGCTATGAGAAATAATTAATTGTATATTTTATTATATTCATTCATTGATTTGAAAAAAATTAAACCAGTCTTGAAACTACACTTTGTTTGAGTGTCATTCCTTTTGTAGTACCAGCAATTATTTCATATACTGTATTAATCTTTGAGCACCTAAGTCAACTTTTTACAAAATAGCCTCCACATTATATTTTTCATATTTACCTCAAAATTTTAATCAGTAATTGTAGCCAATAGCAAATTATGTTTATTAGTTCCAAAAATATCGATGAAAAATTCATAAACGACAGAATGTTGCACTGAAATTTTGGTGGAAAAAATTATTTTTGAGGGCAGAGAAAGCTATCTAGGTTTTATAATAATATACTAACCAAGTATAGATTCAGTTAGAAAATAATTTCATTTTAACCATGGTGTGAAATTTTCAGTGAACTTTTTTTAATGCCTTTCAAATTTACACTTAAAGGTGCATGAGTGTTGTTTTCTAGACTTTTTATTTTTTTTTAATGTTGAGCTAAAATACAGGAATGAGTACAGGAAAATGTCAACCATGTATTTAATTGAGTTACATGCATGTTATTACAAATTAAAGTCGTATGGTTCGGAGGTCTGGGGGTTTAAAAAATACGATTGTCTGGGACGTATTCAATATCTTGCTTGCAGATATTTCCTTGGTGTTTCCACACGATCATCTAACAATTGTGTACTCGGCGAGTGTAGAAGATATCCTATTTTCTTCTACACCACAAAACTATGCGTCAAATATTGGGCTAAAATCATCAATATGCCGAGTAACAGATACCCACGTAAATGCTACAACATATTGTATAACATAGACAAATCATTGTGTGGGAGAAAGCTACCTGGGTGGCAGACATAAGGAAACTATTATTTTTATGTAAATTAGAACATGTTTGGTATTCGCAGAAAGTTTGCAATATTCAGGAATTTGTAAGCGTATTTTCATGTCGTTTTAAAAAATATTTAATTCTTGAGTGGCTTACTGCTATTTGTTCCTTAGACAAACTGGTTACATATCGGGAATTTAAGGTTACATTGCAGCCGGAAAAATACCTAAAATCTGTTGGAATGTATTCTTATAGAGTAGCTCTTGCACGGTTTTGATGTTCTTAATACTGCCTTCGCATTGAAAGAGACGAACGTATTTGCGCTCTTTGTGACATAGATGAAATTGAAAA